CATTGTTTTTAGGATTATTGCAATAAGAACTAATGCTTCAGTCCTGCAAATGCTACTGATTCGGGCAACAAAGAAACGCCTGGTAACCGGTCTCCTCCCCCCAGGTTGCCACCAGATCACCTGCATCCACCTGACCCAGCAGGGCAACGTGGAGCCCGAGCCTATGCATTCCCGACAGCTTTACCTCCAGTACCTCGACATGACGGACTGCTACGCCCTCGAGGACCAGGGCCTCAAGGTCATCGTCAAGAACTGTCCACAGCTCCTCCACCTATACCTCAGGAGATGTATTAATATCACAGGTGAGTCTCCCGGGCTTCGTTTGGCTTGTCTTGTAGCAAAAAGTAAATTAACTGGAATTGTTCGTCGCAGCCACCGTCTTTTGGAGGCCAAGTGAAATGCTTTTATATTGCAGAGACAACAACGTCTCTTCCACAAACGCAGTTTTTTTCAGTTGCATTAACTATATAACTGATACAAAAGTGTAGACGCAGACGGTGACGGACCTGTATTTTCCAGACGCGGGGGTGAAGCACATGGCCAGCTACTGCCTGATGTTGCGGGAGGTCAGCGTGTCCGACTGCGTCCAGATCACGGACTTCGGCATGTACGAGCTGGCCAAGCTGGGCCCCAACCTGCGCTACCTGAGCGTGGCCAAGTGCGACCAGATCAGCGACGCGGGCATTAAGCAGATCGCCCGCCACTGCTACAAGCTGCGCTACCTCAACGTGCGGGGCTGCGAGGCTGTGAGCGATGACTCCATGGAGATGGTGGCCCGGTCGTGCCCGAGGCTGCGGGCGCTGGACATCGGCAAGTGCGACGTCACCGACAACGGCATGAAGCTCATCTCGGAGCACTGTCCGAACCTAAAGAAGCTCTCGGTTAAATCCTGCGACATGATCACCGACCGCGGCGTGCAGTATATCGCTTACTATTGCCGCGGCCTTCAGCAGCTCAATATTCAGGACTGCCAAGTGACTATTGATGGCTACAGGACAGTCAAGAAGCACTGCCGACGATGTATCATAGAACATACTAACCCCGGCTTCTTTTAGTGGTGTGCGCGCTCGTGCGTCAGTGTTCCCCAGTGTCGTGCCAGTGATTAGAAAAATCATACCAGTGCCAAATAATGTGAGCCCTTGTCACTTCGGCCCACTAACAAGACCCGCGACCTGCGGCGGCTGAGCTCGGTGCCAGCGTGCCATGCAGCGAATGCAAGTGCCAACTCACCTGTGCCAAGTTGACAGTGCCAAAGTGGTGAGGTGACTCCCTTAAGCATCAACGTACTCACTCCTCTGTGTACCAAAGTAATGCTACTGTCGTGCAGTGTACAGTGTCAGATGTTGCTTTGTAGTATGTACAGTCCTCCCAGCAGTAGTGCCAGTTCTCTCGTACGTTCTGTACCCTTTTTGCCTTACGTTCTGTGATTATAGACCCGAGAATCCCTGGCTCCACACGTGAGCCCCGAGGCGGTCTGTCCTCCGCGCGCAAGGCTCGTTGGGCGCGATCTTTTGCCCGGATTTCGTGACCTTCTCCCCCACAATGGCGACGTGAACTCGGAAGCCGGAAGCGCCTGCCTGCTGCGCCCTGCTCCCGCGGCGGCGACGCGAGCGAGCGTGCGGCTGAGCGCGTCACCAGAGCGCCCCAGAGACCCCGTGGCAAGGGTTTCTGACACGGCTTTTAGGCAAGCCCCGCACGACCAGTATGGAGACTGCGTGAGTCTTCTCTGTCACCTGGAGTGCGCACGGTGCCACGAAGAGCGTCGACAAGCATGTACAAAGCCAGTTCGTGTCCGAGGCACTGTGAATAGTGCCAAATGCCTTTACAGAGTGACTTCATAGTGTAGAGGGCAGTCACACTGTTGTAACGTGTACGATGCGGAAGTGTGGAATTCAGAATCATGTTTTTCATCAGAGGAGTGACTGAGTGAGCTGATTGGTTGAGCGCAAAGTTCGGACTGTGACCAGCCTGTCGCTCTTGCAATACCACGTGATCAGGGACTGAATTCTAGACCTAATTAATGAGGTGTCCTTCAGCAGTGTTGACGAAAGGAGCTGTAGAGGTGTAGTTTTGCCTCCATAATGTTCTAGAATTTATGGCGTTCTTCAGACCTGTAAAATATATATTTGTACATTTTCTACATAATGACCTGTGTTGCTATCCGTCTAGAGATGATATCTATGATGCCACACACAATATGAACTCGCAAAATTGCTAGTTAGGAATAAAACCAAAAATTACCAGAAGAAAAGGTCCATGGCAACTTCGACCTCCTGAAAGTGCCATGCAAGTGTTGCCACGAGGTGCTTCTCGAAGATAACACGCCGTGAAACATGGCATCTGTTTCAGAATAGAATTCCTGCATCACACAGCGTGATTGAACAAATACATCTCTGCAGTTACCGTACGCCATAATCTCCACGTCTACGGCTTTTATTTCTGTTAATCTCTCTCTCTCTCTCTCTCTCTCTCTCTCTCTCTCTCTCTCTCTCTCTCTCTCTCTCTCTCTCTCTCTCTCTCTCTCTCTCTCTCTCTCCCCTCTCTCCCTCTCTCCCTCTCCTCTCCCTCTCTCCCTCTCTCCCTCTCTCCCTCTCCCTCTCTCCCTCTCTCCCTCCCTCCCTCCCACCCACCCTCCCACCCCTTTTCCTCCCTCTCCCTCCCTCCCTCCCCCTCCCCTTCCCCCTCCCTCCCCCTCCCCTTCCCCCTCCCTCAGTCTCTGCCTTTGTCTCTGTCTCTGTCACACACACACACACACACACACACACACACACACACACACACACACACACACACACACACACACACACACACACACACACACACACACAAACATAAACACACACACACACATGTACATGTATATGTATATGTATGTGCATATATACATGTACACATACACCTATGCACACCCACACGTGCCACTGCATCTCCACAGCTGTGTGCGTTCGGGAAAGCATCCAAAGACTTGAATTCCTGTAAATGGCCGGAGCTGTGTTATGTAGGATGTTTTAATTGCAGGATTTGGTGCAGCTGTTGATGTTCCCGAGAAGTTTTGTTGTGCAGTTGTATCCAAATGTACCCAACGAAGCTTTTGAAAATAAAGCTTCGAACATTGGTGACGCCCACAAAAAGCTTCTCAAAAAAAATTGATGACGTCACAACAAAATTTCGAAAATTGGTAACATCAATTTATTTTTATTTTTATTTTTTTCGAAAATTGGCGTCAACAAAATTTCGACATTAAATGATGACAACAAAACTTCGATAATGAATGACATCACCTTTTTTTTTCTCTCAAAAATTGACGTCAACAAAACTACGAAAATGAATGACATCAACTTTCTTTTTTTTTTTTTTTTAATTCGAAAATTGGTGACGTCATCCGAATATTGGGATCATCCGATAGTCTTGAGTTTGCCGGACCGACCTAGTTAAGAGTTCCAGCAAGATGACATAGGTACGCCAGTTTTTAAAAAGTAATCAGTATGCCATTTGTTTAGGAAAATTTGACCTTAAATTTGACTTAATAATAATTATAATAATAATTTGAAGGAAAAACAAAAAAAAAACAAAAAACAAAAAAAGGCTGTACTTGATGATATTCCTTGCAAACTCTTATATTAAAAAAAAAAATGAATGACTGTGATTTTAACATCCATTTCGTGATCGTGTAAACAAGAGTTCTGGTTGTTGATTAAGATAAAAAAACAACAACTACAACAAGAGTAAACATTGATTTAATAAAAATAAAGAAAGAACTTGGCATGTAGATGTTTGTCACGAAGTTAGTCCCGAGGTCGTAAAGAGGCCTTAGTTCTGCCAGTGATAATTTGTACCGTATTTTTTTCCCGTGTCCGAAACCTCCAATCCTCGCGGTATTCGATTCTCTTTTGTTTTGTTTTCTTTCTTTGTATAGATCCCTTTTTTCTCTCTCTGTCTCTTTCGAACGTTAGAGGAAATATGAAAATTAAGTCAAATTTTAAAGTTCTCTTTGGCGATAGAAGCTCCGATTTTGTGTTATTGAGAAAAAAATAATAATTGTCTAAAAAAATAATAATAATACTCTATGTTTCGTTACAAAAAAAATAATAAGATTATAATGTACATAGCAACATGCGGTCAAGGTACACAAAAAAAATAGATATCTTCGACCACGTGATAATGAGAAAAGCCTTTTCATCTCCTGTCTCCCTTTGCCTCCCTTCCCCTCCCCCCGAAGAAAATAAATTAAATAAAAAACACTTCGACTAGAGCGGGAACCCCCCCCCCCCCCTTCAACCTTGACTTCGTGACGACCGCGAGCTGGTTGCTGATACTATTGCCATAATGTGTGCCTATTATTTTTATATGCAATTTATAATGTATTTGAATTTGTATATTGTTATTATCCGTTTAAGTAAGTTTTTTATGAGATATTTTATAATTTATTTACTGACACAAGATTTTATTTCTTGTGTAGAATAAAAAAAAAATACCGATGGTTTGTATTTTTATTATCCCGAGCCTTCAAAGAAGAAAAAAACGAGGAAATGGAAAACAGACATGGAAAACTAAGAAATTGCTTTAATACTACATAGTAATATTCTATTAATATATTTTCCTCTATCCCATAAGCTCTTTACACAATCTCAGTTGTAGTTCATATGACAAATGCATGACAAATACATAACAGTATGTCCTTGTGCTTGTAAATAGCGTTCCAATAGCTATATATTATTACGAAGTTAAAGAACTTTCTAAATATATCTTATTAATTTGAACGAAACAGCACAAGAGTCTTCTCCATGGTACAAAATTATCCATACAGTGCAACAGTGATAAAATATACTCTCGGAAAACCCAACCAACACAAGGTTTGCACTGAATTAAATGCAACTCCGCCTTGGTAATCTTGTGCTAATTCCCCAATATTTTTTTTTTCGTGGTCTTTTCTTCTTCGCCTTTCTTTCTCCTTTTCTTCTTCACCCTCTTCTGTCCACTGATCCTAATCATTATCTCATCTTTACCCTTTTCGTCACATTACTTTACCATAGTGTTATATGACCTACAATGTGTGTGTGTGTGTGTGTGTGGATGGATTAATGGTAAAACACTCATCCGTGTTGACACCATAATAGAAAAATCCACACTGCAAAAGCTAGATTTATTGAAAATTTCAATAAATCTAGTTTTTGCAGTGTGGGTGTTTCTACCATATCTATCTATCTATCTATCTATCTATCTATCTCTCTCTCTCTCTCTATATATATATATATAGTCAATTAGTAAGTCCTGTGTGACCGCACCTGGGTTCCACTTTCCTTATTTCTTATTTTATCAGTATTAATACTGTTATAATTCGTGCAATTGTGATTACCATAATAAGGAAATGCTACTGGCGATGCAAAATAAGAATTAATATTCCTGAAATCAAGGAACGGCGCCTCCTTGGTAACTAAGCGCTTTCGGAACTTTATATGTGTACAATTAATTAATGAAAAGTACAGTGGACATGGTGTGTATATCAGGACATTAACCTACTAGTTGGCAATTAACTACTCAGTACCACTCAACAAAAATGTCACTTCTAGACTTCAAGTCACAGAAAACGGGTACCCAGTGTGCCTTTCAAGCAAAATAGCCAACCTCTCCATACATTAAAGTTAAACGATTCAATAGGACTAGGATGCCCGTTGTTGAGTGGCGGAAGTCGTTAATGGGGCAGTGAAGCCTTCCATCAGCGATGTAACCTTCGTCCGGAGTCATCTACAGCTTTGGCATCAGTCATGAAAAGAGTTCTTCTGGAATGAGCTTAATCGATCAATATGTAAAACATCTGAGGAATAAGATTGAATGATTATTCATTTATAAACCTATGGACTGCATACTCAACAAAAACCATTAGTGTAAATATTTAAGTGAAATGGTTATTCAATTTTAAAACCATAGACTGCACACTCGACAGAAACTATTAGTGTTGCTGAGGTTTAGAACGCCTATGATGTGATTTCAGGAGAATATTCTTAAAATCTTACATCTTTATTTTTAATACATTAAACACTATCTTCTCTCGAAGAAAATGATGTTCTCCAGCATTACATTTATGTAATGTAATGTAATTCATGCAGATGCATTTATTCATGCAGATGTGATTTATTCATGCAGATGTGCTAGCGTGTTGTGCTTTGCAGAAGAAATTAATATTCTGTAGAAATTATGTTTTTTTCTTTCCTTTCTTTTTCCTATTCATAATAATCGCTGAATCTTGATTTCAATCATTGACTTTTTATTGACTAATTTAGATCTTTATCTCAGTCAGTTCATTAGATCGGCTTGATTTAAATAACACACATCTATATATATTTGTGTGTGCACATACAATTATATAACAGTATTATGCGTGTCTGTGTGTATGTCGCACATTCATGGCAAACGCGATATGAGAAGAAGCTACACTTACCTGAAACGATTTCGAATTTGAAAAGAACACAAGAAAACATCAATGCGGTCCAAAGAGAGACTAATACCGGAGGTGAAACGAACATTGAATGGAAAGGAGACTGAGGACATAATCTTTCATTCCTTTAACTAATTCGCGATTTACGAATGAAGTAAATATTTATTTTAATGACGAATTGCGACATTTCCAGTCCTAGAGACGATAAACGATTATAATAAAATGGAAAACTTAAAGATAAAAATTATAACACGCAAGAAATTAAAGCACTCCTTTCGAAAGAATCCAATCAAATTCTCCCAACCGTAATTTCACTATAAACTGAGACGCTTATATAACACCACGACCGCTATTAATGATGTCAAAGGGTGTAATAGAATATATATATATATATATATATATATATATATATATATATATATATATATATATATATATATATATATATATATATATATATATATATATAAGTAGTTAAGCGCCTTATGTTCCCAGTTTGAGCACCAGGTTAGTTCAAAGAATAGTTCCTACACATAGCCAAGTGTTTTGCTAACGGTTCCATACCCTGTATCATGGTCTTTTCATCAAATATGTGGGTATTCTCTCGAGTTCTTGACTGAATAAGCGAGCCTATAAAGGGGTCCTCAAGGCCTCCAAATTTGGTAATACCATGTTCTTGTAATCAAACTTAGACTTTTATTGTAAAGAATTTTAATGAATGAAGAACTAGCTTGACTTTTCCATCCACTAACTGCTGTGTTGTAAATGTTAACACCATATACGGCATAAGTCTCCTACAGATGAAATCCAGACCGCGTATATTCTGCATTTTGCTCTTTCAAAGTTAAACCCCAGCTAAGCCATAATGTGCTGAACAACCGCACATTATTTTAGTCGAAAAAGAGAACTGATCAATGTTCCTTACACTACCAGGATCGATGGTGATAGTCATAGTTCAGTATCCATTTTAACAGAAGGGGCCTTTATTTATCACGTAACATCAGAAAACAAATACACACTGCTGGATACATGTAGATATAAATCTTCACAGTCTGCAGTATCCC